TTGTAAGGTTGCTTCGGCTTTAGTGCCGGGCTTCATCTCATGCTTGGATTGTTGTCACCACCTCCTTTGCTTCCACCACGCCAGCCCCTTCCAAATGTCACATTGCCATGGGCGTGCGGCCTATGTTGTCCCACAAGGCCCTGTACTTGTTTTAATGCTCTGCTGTTGCCATCTTGAGGTTTCTAATTTTTGAAGAAGGAAGCGCCATATTTTATTTTGTGCTGGATGCTGCAAATTAAGTAGCTGGTCTTGGCTGTAAGAATGGCATTTCTAAAACTATCTATTTTTAAAAAATCCTTCAAAGCCCATACTCCTTCTCCTACCTGTCCAGCTCTCTCTTTCATGATGTGCTTTTCTTTGGATGTCACTGTGGAAGCTGCTCAGGTCTGCCCGCAGCCCTGTCCTCTGTGACATTGGCTCATGGTGCTTCCTTTTCCTCATTTCCCTACCGACCTGGTTCATCTCTATCTGTGGTTTGAAATGCCGGAGAAATGGACTGAGCTGTGAAACCTGACATGGCCACCTCAACTAGTACTGATCACACTTTCTCTCATCTCTCTCTCGAAAAAGTTGTTGTCTGGTGAGGTTGGGCCGTGTTTGATCTCGGGATAATGGTTCTGTGATAGCTGTACAGGGAGGTGAGGCTGATTTTTGCCAAGGGGGGAGGAATTCTCTATCATCTTCAGGGTGTTCATTCATTCATTCATGCAACAAATTTTTATGGACCATCTAATACATGCCAGACTGTATTCTAAGCACTGAAGATACGGCAGTGAACAAAATACTTCCTCTTTTCTCAATGAGCTAATCACATTCTAGTGGGGGAGTCACAAAGTGAGTTAAATAGATCAGTAGAAAACAAGGCAAAGTAGGATAAGAGACTACAGGGTGGTGGGGGTATGCCTGTGCTATTTTAGTTGGGGTGGAAGGCCCAGTTGGGTGACACTTAACCACAGAGCTGCATGAAGCGAGGGCTTGACTCATGTAAGGCTCTGGGGAAAGAGTGTTCCTGGCAGAGGGAACAGCAAATGCAAAGGTGCTGAAGGTGCACATGCCCGATCTTGCAGGAAACTGCAAGGAGGCTGGTGTTGCTGGAATAGAGTGGGCAATGAAGAGAGAAGTAGAAGGCGGGGTCAGGGAGGGGGCCTCATCCCACGGGGCCTTGTAGACCAGCTGAGGATTTAGGCTTACACTCTCAATGAGATGGGAAGTACTCTCAAAGAGGTGGGAGGCTTATGACTGGCTTGGTCTCTCTAGCTGTTGCTTTTATGCAAAGGAGCCATCTCAAATGCTACGGAGAAGTGAAGGAAGCTAAGAATTGAGAATTGACCATTTAGGTAATATAGTTATTCTTTTGGTTGATGGATGTGCAGAAGACCCCTGAAGCAATCTTTAGATTTTGTGGCAGGTCAAGGATTGCCGTGGGTGACGGACCCACTTTGATCTCAGCTATGAGATCCTTTGTCAGTCTGTTGATTCTTTGGCCAGTTGTCTCTTCTTCACCATGAAAAGACTTGTAAACTAGGTTTTGCAGTGTCCCTCACTGCTTCTTTCCTCTTACTCTGCTTTCCGATAAGCCATGCACTCATGGTGACTACACGACAGTCCAAGGCCATCACCGTGCCCTTCTTTCCTTGCAATGACGGAGCTTGTCCTGCAGCCGCCTGTCCACACTGTTTGTCCACAAGTTACTGTTGCACTCTTATTTTTGATCAGTTGTCTTGGATATAAGAGACATTGTGGAAGTATAATTTCAAGAACTTCATGCTCAATTAGATATAAAGAATGGGAGAAGTTGAGAAAATCGAGACAAGTGGTATTTAATCTTAGGTGACATCTGAGGAGAGCAATGTTATTGACGGAGGCAGGAAGCACTAGGCAAGAACAGAGTAGGACAGGACAGTGTGATTTTGCACATGATGAGTTTGAGGTGTCAGCGAGAGGTACATGCTGAGCCATTTAGCAGATGCTCAGAGGCCTTGGGGGTGTCATTGTGGATACTGTTCTTCATTACATTGTTGAACCCATGTGTACCCCGATACCATAAGTCTCCCATGTGAGGGGACCTGAAACATTAATGTGGGCCAGTCCCCAGTCCAGTTTTCCAAATCCCTCTATAATATCCCTTCCTAGGCAGTCTTTGAGCCTCTGTTCAAACATTTCCTAAGGCAACTTTTTCTGTGCATTTGTAATTCCGACCACTAGCCCTAATTCTAAACCCTGGGGCTTGTATAAGATGATGCCTTTTCCATGGTCAAGTGCCTGGTTTTGGGTAAATTGGGATCATGTCCTTCTCCTGGTCTTCTCTTTCCCACATGAGATGGTTCCCACTCTGTCTGTGTTTCCCTGTGGGATGATTAGAGCCAGCTCACATTGGTCTCTCACCTTGGAAGGTGTATATTTGTCGTCTATATTTACCTTAAAGTTTGGTGGGTGGGACCAAGAACAGGGCTCTGGGGCTGGCCCGACCACTGCAGAGCAGCGCAGCACCAAACTGGTCAGTTACTCCGAGCATACTGTCTCACAGTGAGTTTTGAGATAAAAAAAAACACGTACCGTAACAGGTATGACCCAAGAGAACTGAAAGCATGTGTTCACACAAACACTTGTACATGAATGTTCATTGCAGCATTACTCGTAAGAGCCAAGAAGTGGAAGCAACCCAAATGCCTGTTAACTGATGCATGTATAAACAAAATATGGTCTATTTATACAATGGAATAATAACATTCAGCCATGAAAATGAATGAAGTCCTGATATATGGTACAGCATGGATGAACCTTGAAAACATTATACTCAGTGAAAGAAACCAGACGCAAAATACCACATATTGTGTGATTCTATTTATGTGAAATGTGCGGACTAGGCAAATCTATGAAGACGGAAAGCAGATTAGCTGTTGCCAGGGGCAAGAGGGAGGAGGGAATGTGGAGTGACGGCTAATGGGTACAGAGTTTCTCTCAGAGGTGATAAAAACGTTATGAAATTAGGTTGTGGTGATGGTTGCTCAACACTGAGAATGTGTTCAAAACCACTGAGCTGTACACTTTAACATGGTGAACATTATGGTGTGTGAATTATGTCTCATTAAAGCTGGCATAAAAAAATATGGGTATTACCTCCTATCTGAAGGTGAGGATCTTATGAGGATTAAATGAAATAACATACAAAGTGCTCAGAGCACAGTGTCTGGGACATAGTGTGTACTCAGTTCATGATTGTTCTTGTTGCTCTTAGGAAAAGTAACACTGTAAATATCAGCAAGCTGCAGTCTTATTCACTGCCACATTTGTTACATAGTATGCAATCAATCAATACTTGCAGAATGACTGTGTTTTGTTCCTGTTCCCGTTTAGCCACATTCAGGAGTGTGATTGTCTTTTGTGTTCTGCTTCTTGCAGCCTGTTAGTAAATCTCCATTCTTGGGCCTGACTTGGAGCTTCTTGTCCACTAGTGGTAATCAAGTGACATGGAGCTCTTCACAGCCCACGTTTCAGTATTGAGGTTGGAGTTAGGAGTGTAGACTTGGTCTGGGAAAGGAAAGGTTCTACCATAAATTCAAGGTGAAGGTGGGGGTAAAATGATTCTTGAGCTTTTTTCCAGTAATATAGTTCTGCTTTACTTTTTTTTTTTTTTTTTTTGGGTGAGGAAGATTGGCCATGAGCTAACGTCTGTGCAGTCTTCCTTTATTTTTGTATGTGGGACGCTGCCACAGCATGACCTGATGAGCAGTGTGTAGGTCCATACTTGGGATCTGAACCCATGACCCTGGACTGCCAAAGTGCAGCATGTGAATTTAACCACTATGCTACCAGGCTGGCTCTCTGCTTTATGTTGTTTTTTAAAAAAAATTTATTTTAATTTTTAATTTTTTTTGAGGAAGATTAGCTCTGAGCCAACATCTGCCACAAATCCTCCTCTTTTTGCTGAAGAAGACTGGCCCTGATCTAACATCCGTGCCCATCTTCCTCTACTTTATATGTGGGATGACTGCCACAGCATGGCTTGACAAGTGGTGTGTAGGTCCACACCCGGGATCCAAACCGGCGAACCCCGGGCCACCGAAGCAGAATGTGCAAACTTAACTGCTGCACCACCATGCTGGCGTCTGCTTTACATTTTTGTGAAAGCTTAATTGGCCTGTTGAGAATGTGGTTCTTAATGGTTCATTATCAGTTCCCTGGAGAGCAGAGGACTTCATCTTGGTTAAAAAAAAAGAAATCAGTTCCTAGAAATTTAACAGATTTATACTGACATTTTGTTCTGCTGAGCCCAACTCACAATTTCCACACAGAAGAAATTTTTATTTTAAATTAGGATAGAAGCATTTTTTTCTCTGCAAATATATATATATTTAATTCACTTCCTTTTATGAACTTGGCATTCCACTAATAACACTGAGTTGGTTTTACAACTGTGTCGGCATGGTGCCATCTGCTCATATTGAGGCTCATGAAGAGAAATAAACCTCTTGTTGTTTGTATTAACCAGCCTTTTTTCTAGAAGGTCAGTGGAAGTTTTTTCCTGTGGTTTCTAAGGAAGGTTGTGCTTCTCGGCTTCCTTAGCTTTCTGCGTACCGTGGACCACGTGGGCGATCCGTTCCCTTGTTATCGTCCCTGCTGGGAGGCGCAGCACCATGGGTGGCTCACGTCTGGGGAATTGCTGGGCTTTCCCGGCGATTTGTGCACCATCCTCCCTCAGACTGCCTTTGTTTCCTGTTCTGATTTTCTCTTTGCCTAATTTCCATTTTCTTTTATTTTTATTTCTGTGCATATCTTCAAGAGCTGCTTTTTAATAATTCTTTGGGAGACAAATGGGAGACTGTGCCAGCATTAGTGAAGCCAAACTTTAAGAAATTACTCTAAAAACATTTGCCTGCAACTTTCCCCCCACGCCAACAGGGAGGAATGGGAGAGAAGGCAAACGTGTCAGAAAAGAGTTGGTAAGCTTTTTTTTTTGAAACTTTTTTGAGTGTCTCTTTTTCCTGTCTTTTTAATAGAAGTTGGTGCTATGGCGAGGCAGTACATAGAGAAAGGTCTTTTGGTTCCAGATCACGTGATCACACGCCTCATGTTGTCGGAGCTGGAGACTAGGCGCGGCCAGCACTGGCTCCTAGATGGTGAGTTGAACTTGTGGGTAAGCTGGGCTTCTGTGAAGGGTCAGTTATGATCTCCTTGCACACTTCTTTAATTTGTTACAGATTGCAAAATACCTTTGTTCCTAAACTTTCAGTCATTTATTTAGGCCCGTTCCAATTTGTCAACATGTCACAGACCTGCTATGGTGAAGCCTTTTAATTCCTCTGTCTGCAGACAACCCTCCTGAGAGCCACTGACTCCATCAAAGCTTGTGAATTCTCATTATGGTTCCAGTTTGGATGGTGCCTTTTGTTTCCACCACTAAGTCATCAAAAGTATATAACTCATCTTAAATCAGAGATTCGTTCATTCGTAATGGGCCACACATATTAAAACCATGAGTTATCATTTTTCACCTGTCAGATTAACCAAGATAGAAAATCTGAAAATCTTTTGTTGAGTGTGAAAGAGATAAGTATTGTTGAGAGTATAAATGGGCAACCTTTGGGGGGCAGCTTAGCAATCATTATACTTTTTGCTTCAGCAAGTCCTTGCTGGATTTTTTGCCTAAAGATGTATCTTCAAGGATGTCTATTTTCAGCATTATTTGTAAATTGCAAGACCCTGGTAACAACCTAAGAAGCTCTCATGGGGATGCTTTAAGTTTTGGTATGTTCATTGGCAAATAGTCTGTACTTATGTGTTGATACCATGGAGCTCTAAGATAAGCTGCCAAGTGAAAAAGGCTAGGTGCCGTGTAGTGTGGATCGTATATTATTATTTCTATAAAAATGGAGGGACAGTATTATATCACTGTACACACTTACAAACACATGCATACGCTCTTTTGTGGAGGATATAAAAAACCACTACCAGTGGTTGCTCTGGGTAAGGATTAGGTCTGGGAGGGAGACTTACCTGTCACTGTATATGCCCTTTCATATGTATTTAAATAATATGGGGACCTGATTTAAACACTCAGTTAGTGATTCCTAAACTTTTTGAGACATCATGGACCCCTTGATGACAACTATGATACTCCGCCCAGGAAAATGCATGCAGATGCTCATACACAAAATATCGTACCCTTTTGTACTTGAGGAAGCTGGAATTAAGAATCTTCTATTTTAAATTTGCCCAGTATAAATCTTTTGATTTATTAAAGGAAAAAAATGGACCGGTGGATTCTTTGTCGTATTTTTAAATAGCAGGATTCCTCGGTGCAGTGAAAATAGAAAGCTGATGAACACGCTGGTTTCTAGGAACACAAAATGGGGACAGTGAGCTCTAACCACCAGAAACTTCTTTCCACTGCAGAGCAGTTTTTCTTAGTTCGTTCAGTGCACCCATTCCTATCTTAATTTGGTGAAACCGAAGCCTCTGGAAGTTGTGACAGTTGAAACCTTGGTGTTTGCCAGCCACAGAGAAGCCAGAGGCATTGTCCTCCATTCAAGCTATCACATTGCCTGAATTTCTCCTGAACTCTGGAGCCACGAGTCTCCAAAATGAGCACCATGGTGTAGTGTTTATTATGTCAGTGTTTCTCAAAGTGTGTGGTGTACAGTGTTAGTAATTGCTAGATAAGGGAACAGACTTTGTGGCCAAATATGTTTAGACAATACAGGTTCAAATACTAAAAGTTGCTAGCATTTATTGAGCACGTACTGTGTGCCAAGCATTGTCCTAAACACTTGATATTTATTATCTCATTCAGTCCCTACAACGAGCATAGGAAGGAGACACACTGTCTCCATTTAGTGGAAAACTGAGGCAAAGTAGGATTCAGTTACCTGCTCCAAGTTAGTAACTGCCAAGTTAACCACTTTCCTTTCCTTCAGGATTTTACTGAACCTTGAATGTGGTCATGTGCTTTGACTCTTCAAGGAAGGAGACATCATGAGGCATTTTCTGAATTTACTGGAGCACAGACTCTCTGACTCATTCCAGCACCCACGGGCAATCTCCAGAATTTGTTCTGTGTAGATTCTTTGTGAACTCTATTATTCAAAATATATTCCTCACTTTGTAGGTTTTCTGAAAGTTAGCTATAAAGTAGACCATGTCTTTCTAGAATGCCTTCCATTAAAAACATTGGGGGCTGTGTCCTCATGGGGCTGGGGGGGAACCAACAGACTGAATTGAAAACTTCTGTTGAGAGAAAGGCTGTAATGGCCTGTGGAAGGCATGTGTTTATTCATTAGGCAATGATGACTAAAGCTCCTACTGTGTGTCAGAATCCATTAGGTGCTGTTGATAAAATGGTAAGACACTATCCCTACTCTTTAAGGGGCTTATATCACAGTAGAGGAGTCAGGTGTGTAAAAAATTAGGTACTAACAGTCTAATGGAATCATCCATATGTGGTACCTGAGGACACAAAGGAGAAAGTTATCTGTTCTCTTGGTGGGTGGAGGGATTGGAAGAACCTTATGGAAAAAGAGATGAATAGAGAGATGTCCCGCAGGTCGATGAATAGAAGATGGGAAGGCGGATTTTTTCAGCAGAAGGGCAGTGTGAACTGGGCAAGAGAGCAATGACTTCGCCTAGTATTTTCTTGGGCCTGCCAGCAGAGGGGGGCAGGGGAAATCCTGAGGTGAGTGGCTTTTGACTCTATACATAGATGGTGGAACTGGAGATCGTTGGCTTGAGGGACCATGGAAGAGTTGTCAAGTTGAAGCATAGCATGATCAGAGGGATCTGTGTGTCAGAAAGACTGTTCTCAGCAGAGGAGAGATGAGTGCTCTGATGGGGAGGAGGTGGTGACTGGAAGCCTCATAAAATGTTGTTAGAATAATTGACCAAGGTTTGTCGAAGGCCTGAATTGGAGCAATGGCAGTGGGATGGAGCAGAGGCGCCATTCGTGAAAGAAGGGGTTGAGGAGGAAGAATTGGCAGGAGTCGTGACTGACGTCGGGGGCTGCAGCCCTGGGGTTTCTCTTCGGCCTTCTGAGCTTTTGGAGTGTCCTGGCTGGCATCATCTTCGCCACACTGCTCCAGCTCACTTAATTTCTCTGGATTCTAAAGACTTAACTCACAAGGTTATCCCCCAGTGCTTCTGTGTGGGTATTTGTCGTGACCGATGAACTTTGGCTTTGCCGTCACCTGACGGTTATTACTCTAGTTTAAATCCTTCACTTGGGAGCCTTCTTGCCTTGTAACATGAACTTATGCAGTTTTAGTAAACTTAAAATCTGTTTAAAAAGAGAATCATCTATGTTAAACTCCTTTGGAAAGGTAGTTACTGTAGTAACCATTAACCCCAGTTAGTGCTGGACTGCCCCTTTGAATCCCAGCTCCGCTCTGTGACCCAGGGCAAGTTCCTGTGCCTCTCTGTGCATTTTAGTCCTCATTGGAAAACAGGGATTAGGAAAGGGTTTGTAAGGGTGAAGTGAGTGAGTGTGTACGAAGTGCTTGGAAGAATTCTTGTCATTCAGCAAGTGCTGTTTGTGTCGTAGGAGATTTCACCATTTGTCGTACATGAATTTTTTTTGGTGACTACATGAAGTGTTAAGTTTGAAAGTAGATTTAAAAATATTTAGCTCTGCGAAGTTAAAGAAGTTCAGTTATGGAACGTTTTATCTGTCTTTTCAACGCTTGGCTCTGCTGTAACTCACCCTTTCAGGGCGAGCAGCAGAAGTTCTGTTCCACCACAGGCCTGTTTTTAGTGTGGTGGTCTGTCAGTCTCCTCACAGATTTAGTTTGTATCTTTCTCCTTGAGAACCCATCTGGTCACTTTTTCAGTCTGATTTTTCTTTAAAGCTCTGGGATAAATCCATTTGGCAGAGGGAGGAGTGTCAGGAATGCCGAGTTCTGCGCTCAGCTCTAAGCTCCGTCTGTTACAAGGCACATGCTCCGCGGAGGACGAACCTGATGAGTGTGCTGGAGGTGACTGCGTGTGGGAAAGTCAAGAAGAGAATCCTGGAGGAGAGATCACGCAGCGACTCGGTCTGTGTGGCTGTAGAGAGGCGCCCTGCAAGTGGCGGGTGGGACCCAGCAGAGCGGAGGCAAGCCCGGGGGACGCCAAGAGGGTGGAGGGCGTGGTGCGTGCCCTGTGTTTGCTCAGCCATGTCCTTGCTAAAAAAAGGTCAGCACTGCCTCGCCTTCCCCACACCTGCCAGTTGGGTAAGAAACACTCTTTTATGAGTTTGAATATACGTGTGGTTTTTTTCTTTCTTTCTATAATTTCCTTGGAAGTTTAATGTATGACAGCAGTTTTCTAAAAATATTTTAATTTTTAAGACCAATCTTCTACCGGAGAAGTGTAATGCACAAGCCCTCTAGCTTTGTTATGAAGCCCTGTCTTTTTCAGTTTCATGGAGAGAGTATTTACTGCTTACTAGGTAATCTTGAGGTGAAATGGTACCTCGGGAACAATAACCAGCTCTTTAAGACGAATACGAATTCTTCACTTTTTAAAAGGGGGCTGGCAATGAGGTGAGGCCAGTGGCAGGTGCGTTAGTAAGAGATTTTTGTCATTTCTAAACTTGTCTGCCAACCTGTGCCTTTTAAACCGTAACCTGCAGGTTCTCAGACTCAGTCCTAGTTTATCTCCAGGTAGCAAGATGTAACAGAATTTTCTGCCAGGTGGTTTTAGGCGTAGGTATCAAAACATTTTGAATTTGTTGTCAAAGTTTGGTTTCAGAGAAAGCAGCCTTAAAGTTGGGAATTATAAGTGGAATGTAATTTAAGCCTTTTCACTGGAGATAAAGACAGCTTTAGAAGGGGGGTCCTCCTTTGGTGTGTGCTTGCTTGTCCGTTGGTTTCGTCTGGACTGTACTGGGCGGGGAGTGACTGCTGCTTTCGGCAGGGGATTCTGGGTTTTTCTTTTTTTAGCAGAAGTCAGAGCTTCTTGAACGAGTGCAGTGTTTGTGTGTGTTTGTTTTCCCTGAGAGTTAGATGATCTCAGACCTGAGATATTCCAGTGAACGTGCTCACTCCGAGCCCTGGGCGTCCAAGGAGAAGGTGGATGCTGGGGAGCAGAACTGTGGAAGCTGGGGCTGGGTATCTTGTGCTGATTTTGTGACCGTGTTTTACCATACTGG